CCTGTATTGTTCCACCGTCCTCCTAATAAGGTGGATAGCTTCTGTGGTAGATCGCCCCGACATGAACCGGAACTGGTTGTCTGAAATAGACACCGTTCTTCGCACTCTCATTTCTACCACTCTCTCCCAGACTTTCATGGTATGACTTAGTAATTTAATACCCCTATAGTTGTTACAGATCTGGATATCGCCTTTGTTCTTATACAACGGGACCATTGTACTCCACCTCCACTCTTCGGGCATCCTGAGTTTGCGAACTACAAATTCAAAGAGCTAAAACTCGTGATTACAGACAGGTCAAAATGGATTCACTTATCAGAAAATAAAAAGCATATTAGAGACAGTCCAATATGGGAAAAAAAGACTCAGCTATGGCCCATGGAAAGACACCCAACCTTTAACATGGTATAGCATGGTGAAGGCAAGGGATACTTTAAAAGATGCCGGAGGAGGGAATCTTTTCCTCATTTGTGGTGTGGGACTCTTATTAGCCCCTTTCATAATTGCATTGCACAGAAACATTGAGAAACGAGAATTACTTGCATTAGTTAATTTGTCTCTCTTTTTATGATCTTGCTACCTTCACATTGGCTGTAATTTCTGTTAGCTTATTTAGAAGACCAAGTTGGATTTAAATATATATGTTCTGTTCTTTTCTTTGACGCTGTCACGATTCTCTGGAAAGTATGGATTTTTCTAATATTATCACTCTCACTCTCAATCAGTTTGTTAATGAAAATTACGGAGCTCGGCCATGATTTTCTAATTTTATTGTGTGGTTTATTATTTGTTGAAAGAACAGAACAGAATGACAAACCTACTTCTTAAACTTGTTTTGAGATTGTTCTCAGCATATCTTGAAAAATAGAAGCAACAACAACAAACTCAGAGGGTAGCGTGTACGCAGACCTTACCCCCTACCTTCAAGAAGGTAGAGAGGCTGTTTCCGGTAGACTCTCAGCTTAGGAAAGTTAAAAGGAAGTGCAACAACAAGCACTAAGTTATGTACTAAAGCAACAACAAAGTAATGATAGAAGTCAAGAAATACGAAAATACACAAATGACACTAAGTTATGTACTAAAGCTACTGTAACAAACAAGGACAAGGCTCGGCTACCTAACCCTTGACCTTTATACTCAACCTCCATACCTTCCTATCTATGGTCATGTCCTCGGTAAGCTGGAGCAACGCCATATCTTGCCTAATCACCTCTCCCCAATACTTATTCGGCCTGCCTCTACCTCTCCTTATGCCCTCCAAGGCCAACCTCTCACATCTCCTCACCGGTGCATCTGTATCTCTGCTCTTCACATGCTCGAATTATCTAAGTCTCGTCTTCCGCATCTTGTCCTCCACAGGGGCCATGACCACCTTGTTCCGAATAACTTCATTTCTAATTCTATCTAACCTGGTATGCCCGCAAATTTATCTCAACATACTCATTTCAGCCACCTTCATCTTTTGGACATGAGAGTTCTTGACTGGCCAACACTCTGCCCCATACAACATAGTCGGTTGACCATCGTTCGATAGAACTTACCTTTAAGTTTTGGTGGCACATTTTTATCACACAAAACACCGGAAGCGAGCCTCCATTTTATCCACCTCGCCCCAATACAATGTGTAACATTCTCGTTGATCTCTCCATTCCCTTGTATAATTGACCCAAGATATTTAAAACTTTCTCTCCTAGGGATGACTTGAGAATTAAGCCTCACGTCTTCGTCCACTACCTGAGTCGCCCCATTGAACTTGCACTCCAAGTATTCTGTCTTGGTCCTGCTCAACTTGAAATCTTTAGACTCCAGAGTCTGCCTCCAAACCTCTAACCTTTCGGTAACTCTGTTTTGCGTCTTGTCGATCAGTACAATTTCATCTGCCAATAACATGCACCACGACAACTTCTCTTAAATGTGGCACGTCAGTGCGTCGATCGCCGGGGCAGATAGAAATGGGCTGAGGGCTGACCCTTGGTGCAACCCTATCACAACTCGGAAGTGTTCCAAGTCCCCTCTCACTGTCCTCACTCGAGTATTAGCTCCATCATACATGTACTTAATAGCCCTAATGTATGCAACAGGAACACCTCTAGCCTCCAAACATCTCCAAAAAACCTTCCTTGGCACTTTATCATAAGCCTTTTCTAAGTCGATGAACCGTAAATCCCTCTTCCTCTCCCTATACTGCTCCATCAACCTCTTAATAAGATGAATAGCTTCCGTAGTCAAACGTCCCGCCTTATATCCGAAATCTTGAAAAATAGAAGGTAAAGATCTATTTAAATGTGGGTCAACAGCAAACTTATTTAGTCAAGTTGTTTTCATTTGGCATTTTTTAATGTCCTTTACCTTTTATCTTTTGAGGTGAAGTGGAATTAATGATGTGACTGGAGAAAACAAGAGAAAGATTGGGAGAATGCGGGAAGACAAATATCTTGAATTGCACAATCGTTGACGCAATGTAGGGTAGTAATACATATAATATTACATCCACTCATATGTGATAATTCTTAACTATTCTAATAGTGATGATTGTAGAAAGAGACCCATTAGGCTGTAGCGAGAGCATAAGTTATTGCATGAGGGACAAAGACAAGTGGGACGGCAAAAGAAAGAAAAGAAAAAGGAATGCTCTTTTCCAAAAAAAGAAAAAGGAGTGCGCTGAAGTGGAAGGATCAGTATCTATAGTGAATCTCTTGTTTTAACAGAACTGATCATTGAACAGTTGCTTTGGCTAGAATTTGTAACTGAAACCCTTTTATGCTGAGATGGCCGGTATGGTTAGTATTATGCTGCTTGCTTTAAATTAATTTGATACTAATCCTCTTTGTCTTCCTTCTTTTTGTTCATCTACAGACACATGGTCTTGCTGAATACATTGCACAGGTGAGATTGCTATTGATATTTTATTACTAGTATAGGGAAGATTTGCATGTTTGAGATTGATATGGATATTCATCAGTATATTAGCCCGTTTTAGTAAGTACCACTAAGATCTACGTTTATGAACCTTTATCAAAAAGACCTACGTTTGTGGACATCTCCAGATAGCTTGTTGAAATAGTTGTATTTCCTTTGATCGAGGAAATGAACACAGACATAGTCAAGTGAATGTTGAAATTATTTTATAATATTTTAGATTCTCATATCCTTTAGTTTGGATCTAGTGCTTCTGAACTTATATGTTAAAATTTTGAAGCTTTGTTCAAGTTAGGGTAGGGTTGACATAGAAGTTTGACCTTTTGTCTTAATTTATGTTTCTTGTAAATTATATAGGGGATGGGGTGGGAGGAGGGTTAGTTAAAAATAAACACTACTTTTGACCTTTTTTTTAAAATTTTCTGACTTTTTAACTTCTCCAGCACTTTCCGCATCTGTTATGACCTTCTGCCAGCAAACAGGAAATGTATCTTTTAGGGCTCTAGTATTAAGGATCAGAGTGGATTGCTTACATGCTTCAATTGTCATTTCTTGGTATTACAGAATCATCTAAAAATTTTCATTTCTGATGATTGCAGGAGGAGATGGAACGGAAAAATGGGTACTGGTGGTCGCTTGACAGCAAATATATAGCATTCACACAGGTTGATTCATCTGGTATACCTCTATTCAGAATTATGCATCAAGGTAATAGTTCCATTGGTCCTCAGGCGGAGGAAGACCATGCTTACCCTTTTGCCGGAGGGGCAAATGTCAAAGTTCGCCTGGGAGTGGTTCCAACTAATGGAGGTCAAATAACTTGGATGGATCTTCTGTGTGGTGAAAAGGACAAAGAAAACGAGGAGGAATATTTGGGCAGAGTGAATTGGATGCATGGAAGTATTCTGACTGCACAGGTCATGAATCGATCACATTCCAAACTGAAAATTCTTAAGTTTGATATCAAGACGGGGCAAAGGAATGTATTATTGGTTGAAGAACATGATACATGGATCAATCTTCACGATTGTTTTGTACCTTTGGACAAAGGACTCAACAGAACTAATGGTGCATTTATTTGGGCTAGCGAGAAAACAGGGTTCAGACATTTGTATCTCCATGACACAAATGGAGTGTGTTTGGGACCTATAACACAAGGTGATTGGCTGGTTGAACAAGTTGCTGGTGTAAATGAAGTTACTGGCCTTGTATATTTTACAGGAACATTAGATGGGCCTTTGGAATCTCACCTTTACTGTGCTAAATTGTTCCCAGATGCTAACAGTCCATTGCAGTCCCCTTTGAGATTGACTAATGGACGTGGCAAGCATGCTGTTGTGCTTGATCACCAAATGCAAAGATTCATAGATATCCATGATTCCTTGGTCTCACCACCCAGAATTTCACTCTGCTCCTTGCATGACGGAAGCTTAATTATGCATCTATTTGATCAACCAGTCAGTGTTCCACGGTTCAGAAAACTCCATCTTGAATCTCCAGAAATAATTCAGATACAGGCCCAGGATGGAACTGCTTTATATGGGCAATTATACAAGCCGGATCCAATGAAGTTTGGACCTCCTCCATACAGAACTATGATTGAAGTCTATGGTGGTCCAAGTGTACAGCTTGTGTGCGACTCGTGGACGAACACTGTCGACATGAGAGCTCAGTATCTAAGAAGCAAAGGCATCTTAGTTTGGAAGGTTTGCTCCTCTTTCCTGTTCTATCTATATGCCTTTTTTAATCTGAATTCATTCAGTTGTACTTGGCCATATCGAAGGGGAGCCTTGGAGCAACGCTTGCACCAGGGTAGGCTGGCTACAACCCACCCCCATGGGGTGCGGCCCTTCCTCGGACCATGCGTGAACGCCGGATGCTTCGTCCACTCAACTGCCCTTTTCTGTACATTACTTTCTTCTTATGGAGACCATTGTCCTTCTCTTCTCTGGATTACCTAAATTGAGTTTTCTGTGGTTTTTATCTAAGCAGATGACACTGCCTTTTAGTTTTGCTTTTAAGAATTCATTTTGGACTAACATAGAAAATACAGAGAATAAACCCAATAAAAGCAAAGAAATTCTGAACCTACTTGCTCAGCTTTTTACAGATGGACAATAGAGGCACTGCTCGACGAGGACTCTTGTTCGAGGGTGCACTCAAATATAACTGTGGCCTCGTTGATGCTGAGGATCAACTGACAGGAGCTGAGTGGCTCCTGAAACAAGGGCTCGCAAAACAAGGCCACATCGGATTGTATGGATGGAGCTACGGTGGGTATCTCTCAGCTATGACATTGGCAAGGTTTCCTGAGGTATTCAAATGTGCTGTGTCTGGTGCCCCTGTAACATCGTGGGCCGGATATGATACATTTTACACAGAAAAGTATATGGGCCTACCATCCGAAAATCCATCAGGCTATCGAGAGAGCTCTGTAATGCACCATGTAAACAAGATCAAAGGGAAGCTGTTACTCGTGCATGGCATGATTGATGAAAATGTGCATTTTAGGCACACGGCTAGGCTTATTAATGCGCTCGTGGCAGCCGGAAAGACTTATGAGTTGTTAATATTCCCGGATGAGCGTCACATGCCTCGGAGAACGAGAGACCGTATATACATGGAAGAGAGAATTTGGGAATTCATTCAGAGGAACTTGTGAGTGGCCTTTTCATTGTTCTAGTATACAGTTAAGGTCTTGACTCTCGGGGTAGAGAAGTTTAGGCGGCTCATTTCAGTTTACAGCATGTTTCAATTTACTATAAAAGAAGTTGTACTATTCTCTGATAAAACTAGAGAAAAAGGTAGCAGGCTAATAAAAGTTGTTTGTGCAACTGATCTCTGTAATAGCTGCCATGTACCATAAGCTTACCAGATGTACAAAAATAATGCAACACTCCTCTTCCTGAGGAGAAATTTGGTTTTTATTTACCATCTCTGCCGCTGATTAGTGTTCTTGGCATTTTTCTTACTTGATCTTATTTGCGGAAAGGTCTTGATATATCCCTCTACTATTAAAAATTGTTTAAAATTATCCCTCGTTATACTATTTAGATCAAAAAAAAATCTTCCGTCTTACTATTCAAACACATATAGCCCTTCTTTGACGGATTGGACACGTGGCACACATCCAAAGCTCTTGGTCAATCTGATTTCAAATTAGATTCGACCCGCTCAATTACCCAAGACTCAGAACCCATAACCAAGAAAACATAATCATTTGACCCATAAACTAACCCTAACTTCAAACTCTGCCGCCACACTAGGAGCTCCTCCTTCACCACTCAGTAATTCCTCCATCACCATTAGACCACCATGACCACCATATAAAACATTCTTTCATCGTCTTTGTTTTTTATTCATCCACCTTCATTTGACAATTTCCTTTTACACTTTGAATTCTCCTAATTGCTTGAAATACTATGTAGCCGAGAGACATGAATACGGTAAATTCAGATGAAGAATTTTCAAATTTTCAAAATTTGAACGGCGGAATGATACTTATGACAACAACTATTTATTTACTTTAAAAATCTACTAAAATTTAACACAATGGTAGATTCCATCAGTGGTTTCTCCAATTCAGTCGCTAATTTATACTTCCCAATGCATTGTAAAACGTGGACATATTATTATGCTCTTAAAATATTTTGAAAGTTTAAGACCACAAATTTTATTCAATTTGACTGATAACTAATTTGCTTTGAAGCTGTTTGGTAGTGTATAGACTGATATATAAGTCTGTTTGTTGACCTGACAAACAGTGAAAGTAGTAATGAACTTGTGAAATTCAGAAGGAAAGATATCCAACCCCAAATTCAGGTTGCAACAGCAACTGATAGGAGCTGCTAGTGTGGTGATGGAGGTTGGTGAAGGGGGAGGTGGTGTGGACGAAGAATGGAATGGAGGGGTAAGGTGGAAGAAGAAAAGAGGTAGTTATGGGTTCTGAGTTTTGGGATAATGGGGCGGGTCGAGTCTAATTTAAGACCAGATGGACCAAGAACCTTAGATGTGTACCACGTATTCAATCCGTCAAAGTAGAAGTATGTGTTTGAATAGCATAACGGTAGTTTTTTTTTATCCAATAGTAAGATGATGGACAATTTTAAACTATTTCAAAAATAGAGGGATATTTTAGGACCTTTTCCATTTTATTTAACCCTCATCTCTCCCACCTCCTCCCTCACAACAATAGAAAATAGAAATTCACAAGTCCGTAACCAAAATGTGGTTCTTTTGGACTCAAACTACACAAATAGGTAGTAAAAAAAATTACATTTTTATATATAACGCCATAATACCTGGCGCTATACAGTAACAGTAACGACACCGTTAATGTATAGCGCCAGGTATTGTGGCGCTATACTGTAAAATCTAACACGCCCAGGTATAGCGCCACAATACCTGACGCTATACATACATCATTAATGTATAGCGCCAGGTATAGTGGCGCTATACATACATATTTTATATCCCCTCCGTCTTTCATGTCGATTCATCCTCCATTATTTTAACTCCCCTCTCTTCTTGGTCCCCCACCCCAGACCCGTTTCTGCCATTTTTTTAAATTTTCTTTTTGGGTCCCCCCGACACATAAAACTCGAAGAACGTAGGTCCCACATTCGAGTAGAGCTTCGTGTTATTGTTGATTCACACTTCCGGAGTCAAAATTTCAATCTTTTTGCTTTCCGAAAATTCTAAATCGAGGTATTTCGATTTATTTTAAGTTGAAACATTTATAATAATGCATATTATTTGATTTGTATGTGTTCTATTTCGGTTTGTGTTTTTTTTTTCGAAACTAGCATGTTAAATTTATCCGGATTTAATATTAGTGTTTTCTAAAAAAAATATAAATTAGTAAAATAATTTTTTTTGTTAATATCCTGATTTATATATATGTTTTCATGCTGTTTTATATTTTATTTGCAATTAAATTTATTTGTTGTTTATGGTTAGTTTAGATTATTTTTTAGCGTAGTAAAATCTAGACCTTTTTAGCGTAGTAAAACATAGACCCTTATAGTGTAGTAAAATTTAGAGCCTTGTAGCGTAGTAATGTGTAGTATTTTAGAATCCATATATATATATGGATTTTTATACAATTAAGTTATTAAAAATATGAATTTAAATTATAATAAAAACACATAATTATATAT